GAAGGCGGCCGCGCTGAAGACGACCGCTGGGAAGAAGAAGGACGCCGCCGCAAAGAAGGCAGCTGCTGAGAAGGATGCAGCTGCGAAGGCAGCTGCGGCGAAGCTCCTCCAGGGCATGCTGGGCGCGACCCCAGCGGCGGCGGCGTCGAGCTCGTCAGGGGCGACTGCGGGGAGCTGAACTAGTGATCTCGTGTGAGGTGGGCTTCTAGAAGGGCGCTCGAGCGCCCCAGCGCGCTCGGGCGCGGCGCGGCCTCGTCGTGCAGTCAAGGCGCTGACATAAGGAACAGTTTGCAGTTTGGGTTTGGAAGGGGCTCGATGCTCCATATATCCCCCCAGTGCTGTTCCTCTTGCCTCCCTGGGGTGCGGAGGCGCTTGCAGGGCCAAGAATTCAAGGGCATAAAAAATTACCCTACCCTGGTTTACGAGGCGCTGTGCGCTAAAAATCCTGTGTGCTGACAGTGTAAACCCTGCGTGATGTGCCGCGTCCTGGCGGCTCTAGACATTGGGGGTCCCCAGGAGGTTCACAGACCACGCGCGTGTAACCCAGGGTAGGGTCGTTTTTTTTTCATCCCTTGTAGCGTTCCTTCTTCAGCGGTCCGACTGTAGTGCGCGGCGTGTGCTGGCGCTTCCCCCTCGAGCAGGGGCTCATATGGGGCTCCAGGTTAGCGGCGCGGCGGCGGGCTGGGCCAGGGCAGCCGCCGCCGTCGTAGGCATCAGCTCTAAATCCCGATTTAAATAACACCACCGCCACCACCACCACCCATCATCGCCATCATCATCACCACAGGGATGAGCTGATTGCACAGTGCACTCGGCAAATCGTGCTACTTTATCGGGTGCAAGGGCACCCGCCACCGCCGCCCCAGGAAGCTGATAGCACGCGCGGCTGGATTCAGGAGGAGGGGGAGAAGGAGGAGGAGGAGGAGGAGGAGGAGGAGGAGGAGGAGGAGTAGGAGGAGGAGGAGTGGGAGGAGGATGAGGAGGAGGAGGAGGAGGAGGAGGAGGAGGAGGAGGAGGGAGGTTCCTGGCGGGAGGGCCAATCACGCCGCGCGCGGTCAGCTTCTTGGCGGGAGGGCCGTCGGCAGCTCGGCGCGAGGCTCGAGCCGAGGCTCGAGACACGTGGAGCGGCGCCCTGCGCTGCTTCCTGGCGCAGGGCACGAAGCGCGTCGCGCAAAAACGGCGACACCCTTCGTTCCCCAGCCCCCCCGTTCCCCCCCCCGTTCCCCTTCGCCATCTCGCTCCCGTTCCCGCCCATCTCCCAGCCCTTCCCCATCCTGTCCTTCCGACGTGTTATACTCCCGAGGTGCCCCCCATAGCCCATGGCCCCATAGGATCCTCCCTCCCGCCTTCCCCTGCCCGCCAGCTCCTCCTCTCTCTCACTCACTCTCTTTATTTCTCTCTCTCTCTCTCTCTCTTTCTCTCACTCTCTCCCTCATCCCCCTCTCTCTCCCTCTCTCTCCCTCTCTCGATGTTCCTCACGTTCTCTGAATCCCTCTCCATCTCTTCACTTCTCTCTCTCTCTCTCTTTCTCTCTCCCCCACGCTGTCTCTCTCTCTCTCTCTCTATTTCTCATTATCTCTCTCTCTCTCTTGTTCTCTTGTTCTCTCTCTCTCTCTCTCTTTCTCGTTGTGTATCATGTCTGTGTTCTTTGTTGTGTGTGTGTGTCTCTCTCTCTCTCTCTATCTCTCTCTTTTTCCCCCTTCCCGTCCCCATCTCTGTATGTATATTTCCCTATGTCTATTTCTCTTGTTCCGTCTCCCCTCAGTCACTGACCTCAGTCGTCCTCTTCCCCCTCTCTCACTCTCTCTCTCTCTCTCTCCCCCCCCATTCCGCCCCGGCCTCAGAGAGGGCAGAGAGGGGGGGGGGAGAGAGAGAGAGAGAGAGAACAAAAAAAGATAAACATTCAAATTCAAAGGGAAAGGGAGATAGAGGTATAGAAAGAGAGAGAGAGACAACAAAGAGAGAGGGGGAACGAGGCGTATAACGAACCAGAGACAGGCATATATACGGATTGGGGCCTCGGGTCGCCCGTCGCCCACCGAATAATGTGAAACGGTGGGAGATAGAGAGAGGGAGACAGGAACGATGGAGATTTCTGATATCGAGAGAGAGAGAGGGTTAACGAAGAAAATAATGAAGAAGAGGAGTTTTATCACGTGGTCGCATAGGGAGCTCCACCGACGGCCTCACGTGGCTGCGTTCGCATGCGCCCACCGCACCCATGTTGGCACACCCCTCGCACTTTTCGTGGCCCCATGACGAGCTCCACCGAAGGTCCACATGCCAGCGCTCGCATGCGCACACTGCACCCATGCTGGCACACCCCTCGCACGCTTCGTGGCCCCATAGAGCCGACCGTGGCTGCGTTCGCAAGCGCCCACCGCACCCATGTTGACAACCCCTCACACTTTTCGTGGCCCCATAACGAGCTCCACCGAAGGCCCACATGCCAGTGTTCGCATGCGCCCACCGCACCCATATCCGGTACACCCCTAACACGCTTCGTGGCCCCATAGGGAGCTCCACTGACGGCCCCAGTGGCTACTTACGCATGCGCCAGCCGCACCCATGTTGGCACAGCCCTCGCACGCTTCGCGGCACCATAGGGATCTCAACCAACGGCCACAGTGGCTGCGTTCGCATGCGCCCATCGCACCCATGTTGGCACACTTCTCACACGTTCATGGCCCGCCAGGGAGCTCCAGCGACGGCCTCAGTCGCTGATTTCGCATGCGCCCACCGCGCCCATTTTGGCACAACCCTCACACGTTTCGTGGCCCTATAGGGAGCTCCTCCGAATCCGGTGCATACAACGACGGTGCTCACACCTGCAAATTGTTGGGTCCTTTGCCAAGCTAATTTGTCTGGTGGCGTTGGGAGTCGGGCGATGATGGTGGGCCACGTGGGAACAAACAGAAGCACTGAAATTACGTATTGTAGTAAAGAAGAAAATAAGGAAGGGCGAGTAGGACGGCATGGAGGGAGCAGGATGCGACGGATGAGAGTGAGGAGGATGAGGAGGCGAAGACGACGACGGCGGAGATCCGCGCTGATCTCCACCTCCTCCGACATCGTCTGGTCACTTCCAGAAGCAGTTTCCGAAAACACTGGGCACACGCCGAAAGCCACGCCGAGAACATCAGGGAACCTCTCAGAGTCGACAGCGACGGCGACGGTGACGGCGGCGGCGATGCCGGCGGCAGCGGCGACGACGGCGACGTCGGCAATGGCGACGACGGCCACGTCGGCAATGGCGACAAAGGCGACGACAACGACGACGACGACGGTCGGCGGCGAGGCTTGCGGCCTTGCCTCGACGGCGGCCGGCAGCGGCGAGGACGACGGCGGTCGGCGGCGAGGACGTTGACGAGGACGGCGACGACGACGATATCGGCGGCGAGATCGGCGGCGGCAGCGTCGACGGCGACGACGGCGACGGCGGGCGACGGCGACAATGGCTGCGGCGAGGCCAGCGGCCTGGACTCTGGCCGGCCCCGGGCCGAGATCGGCGGCAGGGCGACCGCGGCCGGGTCCTCGGGGGACGCCAGCGCCGCCAACGCGGCAGCCGCCGCGACCGCAGTCGCCGCCGCTGCCCCACCGTCGCCGCCGCCGCCGTCGCCGCCGTCGTCGCCGTCCCTTTCGCCGTCGCCGTCGTCGTCGTCGCCGCCGTCGTTGTCGTCGTCATCTTCGGTTGTCGTCTCTCGTCGGCTCCGTCGCCCTGGCAATGGCCGCCGCGGTCGACGACGACAGCGCCGTCGTCCCCGCCGTCGCGGCCGCCGTTCGAGGTCCGAGGGTCGATTGGCGAGCCTTCCCGTTGATGACGGCATGAGAGAGAAGAGGGGCCCTGGCCTTCTCAGAAGGTTCGAAGTACCCCGGCCTTCTGATACGTTTTCTAAGCCTCCCTCAAAAACAGAAACAACTTCTCTGAAGGCGGCGGGGGCCGCCATCTGAGAAGGCCTGCTCCTTTTCACATTCCTCTCGCTCGCCGTCGATCTGGGGGCCAGTAGACGGCAGTCGAAGCCAGGACCCTTTCCCCAGGCAAGACCTCCCTTCCCCGTGCTGATTTTGACGAGCCCTCCCGTTCATAACCGCGCGGCCTCCGCCGGAACCCGGAGGCGCCCCCCGGCAGGCGAAGGGCGCGGCGGCCGCCGATAAAGAGCACAAAAACAGAGATGACCGCGAGGCCCGCAGCCCAAGCCCGACGCGAAGCCGCGAGAAGGAGAAGGAGGAGGAGGATGAGGAGGAGGAGGAGGAGGAGGAGGAGGAGGAGGAGGAGGAGGGGGAGGAGGGGGAGGAAGAGAAGGAGGAGAAGAAGGAGGGGGAGGAGGACAAGGAGGAGGAGAAGGAGGAGGAGGAGGAGGAGGAGGAGGAGGAGGAGGAGGAGGAGGAGGAGGGGAGGGGGAGGAGGAGGGGGAGGAGGAGGAGAGGGAGGGCGCTAAGACGACGATGGAGGGCCTCTGCCATGCGGCGTTGTGCCGCGCGGCTGCGCGCCGCGCCGCCACGTCGGGTAAGGAGGCGAAGCACACACCACCAATAGGCCCGCGCAAGCCCCCTTTGTGGGGGCCAAGATCTTGGTGCACATCGGTGCTCGGCCAGGCCCAGGGGCCACACACACACACACACACACACGCACACGCACACGCACACGCACACCCACACGCACACGCACACCCACCCACACACACACACACAAACACACGCACACACGCACACACACAGACGCACGCACAGACACACACAGACACAGACACAGACACAGACACAGACACAGACACAGACACAGACACAGACACAGACACAGACACAGACACAGACACAGACACAGACACAGACACAGACACAGACACAGACACACACACACACACACACACACACACACACACACACACACACACACACGCAGTATCCACGACCAGGCCGCAACTGTGGGCCTGTAGAGGCCGTGTGGTGGTGTATACTTGCCCTATCAGGGGGGGGCATCCTTGCGTCAAGGGGGAGCGTCACTTGCCCTTGCCGCCCATCATCGTCGCCTGCAGCTGCATCGCGGCGGCGGCCGCCGCCTGCTGCATCGCCGCCATGTCGATGCCACCGTAGTCCTCTGGAGCTCCGGCGCCACCGCCCCAGCCATCGGCTCCAGCGGCGTCGGCGCCCCAGCCTTGGGCCCCTCCTGCGCCCTTGCCCTTCGGGCTGCCCTTCGGGCCCGGCGCCACTGGAGTGGAAGGGCCCGAGCCCCAACCGCCGGACCAGTCCTGGCTGGAGCTTGACTTGCCCTTGCCGCCCTTCTTGCCGCAAGCGTCCTTGCCCTTGCCCTTGCCCTTCGCCTTGCCCTTGCCCTTGTCGGGGCCACTGTCCCACCATCCGCCACCGTTGCCCCAAGACGACCAATCGCCGTTGCCGCTCCAGCCTCCATCGTCGTTGCTCCATCCGCTTTCTGTGGACTGCGCCGCCGCAGCGGCAGCGGCTACCATCGCCGCCTCCTGCGCCTGCATCGCGGCCACAACCTGCTCAGCCGCCTTGTCCCTCTCGGCCTGCATAGCCTCGGCCTCCTCCTGCGTGTGGGCGTGGATGTCTGGGCAGCCGTCGCCGCGTGGGCACCCACCCATGATGAACAGCTTGCACAGGTTGGCCTGGCGCTTGGCCGGCTCGGCCTCTTCAGCGGCAGCATTGGCCTCGGACTTGCGCTTGGCCGTCGGCTGCTTGGACCGCAGCATGAGCACGAACTGCTCGAGCTTCGCCTGCTGCGACGCCAGCACCCTCTGCCTGTCCTCCAGCAGCTTCACGAACTGCCTCTGCTGCTCTGGCGTGCGCACCTGCTCGCACAGGTTTCCGATGGAGTAGTTGGCGAAAGGGTCCTCTGGCCCGCCGCTGGCCGCCTCCTGCTGCGGCGCGGCTCTGGGCGGCGCCTGTGGCGCAGCCTGCGGCGGCCCGGCCGGGGGAGGGCCCCCCTGCCCGTGAGCCTGTATCCGGGCCATGATGTCGGCCTGGACCGTGGAGAGCTTGCCGCCAGCGCCGTCCATGGCCAGCTCTTCATGATGGGCTTGTTTTCCACCACCACCACCATAAGTTGGAGGGGGGAAGGAGGAGGAGGGTGAGGAGGAGTAGGACGAAGAGGAGGAGGAGGAGGATGAGGAGGAGGACCCCGCCTCCAACTAATGGTGGTGGTGGTGGAAAACACGCCCATCACTTCAGGGGTTCATCTGGGCGCCGCTGGCGTGGTCCTTGCCGAAGGGGGGCTCCCTGGCCCCCAGAAAGCTGCTGGAGCCAAGGCGGCTGATCCGAGACCCGCTCTACTCCGATCTGCCGTGTGCGGCCTTGCCTTGCTGCGCAAGGCCTGCCCCGCCTCCGCCTCCCAACTCTGCCGTGGTGTTTGGGCCCACGTACGCGCGGGACTAAGTGGAAGAAGTGTTAAACGCCAGGGGTCCTCGGGGAGGCGCAAGCGGGAAACGCGAGGGTCTCCAACGGCCCAGATCTGACCGACACCGGCGCGATCCCAGAGCGCCGACAACGCCCCCCCACCAAAAGGTGATATTCGACTGACGCTCCTGGCCGCGCACATTTTCTGACGCCGGTGCGCCGCGCCCCGCCTCGGCTGAACGCCTCTTGCGCTCCTCTGTCTGCCGCCGCGTCCGCTGCCGCTGCTGCTGCTGCCCCTCCTCCTGCCCCCCGGTGTCTTGCCGTGCCCCGCGTGAGCCTGCCCGTGCCTGAGCACACACACAGACAAGAGCTTCACGGTCTGAGCGGCCTCCGTCGCCCGCGGCTTCCTCTTCCCCCCCCCCACGCGCCTTGCCTGCTCCTTCTGTGCCTGAGTTGGCCCCAGCGCGTCCTTTGGCTGCCCCGACCACGCCTTGGACCCGAGTCGCCGCGGCAGGAGTGTCTTGCCATGCGGAGCTCTCGGGGGGCCGAGGGCCCAAGTAGACCTCGCCACCATCCTTGCAGCGCAGTCTTTGCAGAAAGGGGGAGAGGCAACGGGGAGACCGCGAATCACCGCGAAATTCCCCGCGTGCTCTCCGGTGGAAGATTTGGCCATTCCCATCCTGGGCCCTGCACTGGTGCATGGACACTCTCGGCATGCGCCCTGAGGGAGTTGACACGCTTCCTAAAGGGACGCCAGCGAAAGGGACTTCTGAGACCGAGGCGCTGCCTTTTGAGACCTCGAAAAGTGCGAGCGAAAGCGTCGTGCGGCGACCTTGTGGGCGAAGCCGCACGGCCTTTCGAGAAATCGGCATCGCCCATCTCAAAAGACCTTTTCCCTGGGGTCCCTTTTGGAACCACATGAGTTGAGCTGGGACCGACCGTCCCGGCATTCCTATAGGCCTGCCACGAAATTTTCTGACAACCCAACCAGGTTCCAAAAACAAAAAACAATGTTCTGAGACCAGAAGCCTGATGGGATACAGCAGGACAGTCCCAGCCAGAAATGTTCAAAGAATATCTCGTGCAAGCCACAAGAGGTTCTCGCAACATTTGCAACATTTTTTGGTGGGACTATAGGCGAGCCAGGACGCTTCGCCACTGCTTGAATGAGTGCCCGCCCACCCGGGTGGGCCCCCCGAGGGGGCCGGCCAGGGCGCAGCGTCCGCGAGCCCGTCGCGAGCGTCGGCTCGCTCACGCGCGCGAGGCCGTGTCAAAAGCGACCGCGTTTAGGTCGGGCGTGTCCTCCTACAGGCGGATTCTGGGCGAAAACAGAAAATCAAAAAAGATCAAACATGATCGAAAATAAGAGAGAAATCGTCCCCAGACCATTTTTTGATGATCTTCGGATATTCCTGCGGTAGTGGGACACGCCCGACTTACGACCGCGGACCGTGGTGAACGTCACGCTCGCGCCCAAGAAGAGTATGCCAGTCTCACGCTCCCCGGCTACGCGCGACCCTGGACAACAGTGACCTGCGGTGCTCGGACTTGAAGGGCGTGTGGGGGAGCCAAACCTGGGCACGCAGGTGCGAGTGCGAATCCCGCCCAGACTTTTTGAGGGGACCGGCGTAGGCCCGCACAGGCCACTCTTACGTGTAGTCGTGCTCTGCCCCCCGCCTCCTCTGGGATGCCCAGAACTCCCGCACCGAGTGGCCAGAAGGAAGCACGGGCCTCTGGAAGTGCCCAAAGGCCCCGCGGAGGCCCCCACAGGCCCGATGGAGGTCCCGAAGGCCCCTGGAGGCTTCAGGAAGCCCCAGGCGTGGATTTATGTACGTGTACGTCATTCTTTCGCTCCTGGTATATCGAAAGACCTCGACTTTGGATCTCCGAGCCTCTCGCTCAACCCTCGCCAGTATCAGTCTCCAGATAAGGCCGCAGGTCGGTTACGCCTTCATTGGGCGAAGGCGCATGCTCCAACGTACACGCCAGAAGTGCCCACCCCAGCAGGAGAGGAGAGGGAGGGTGGAGGGGGGAGGATCGATGAGACATTCTGTAAGACGAAGCCAAGACGAGGATCAAGTCGGTTGAGGGTAACTCGAGAATGTCTGAGATCCGGCGGCTCTGGAAGATGTCTCGGGCGCCGCACCCGTCTCAGAGCGTTCCAGAACGGATTTATCCTCGTCTTATGTCGGCGGTGGACAGAAGACGGCCTTGGACCAACACCGACGGACCTGGACCCGCAGAAGTGACGGCCGCGACGACCTCTCGCGAACCGAAAACGGCCAATTCGCGAATCGACGTGTCAGGGTAGGAGGCCTATCCACCTCCGAAAACTGGGCCCGGATCCGGGCCAGCCCCGGCTCCGTTTTGGGGGCCCCACTTGGGCCCGGAGTCTACAAATACCGATGTCGAACATTCCCCCAAGCGGCGACGAGACGCACATGTTTAAAAAGTGCCCAGGCGAGTGCCCAGACGAGCCCTCCGAAGTCTCTGAGATCTGGGCGGCTCTGGAACGGCCTCCCAATGCGTTCCGGAACGGACTCATCCTCGTCCTGTAGCCCCGTCCGGCTCTGGCCCAGTTCGGGCCTCTGGACAACCCTGGAGATGCCCCTGGGGAACCCGCGGAGGCCGACCGGGATCTCCGGGTGCCTCAGCCATGTGCAGCTTCACGGGGAGGCCGACAGAAGGCCCCTTTTCTTTCCTCCTGCTCCTCCATCTACTTCTCCTGGTGTTCCTCCTGCTGCGGTGGCCCAGAGCTTGGTTCAAGGCAGCAGCGCTCAAATGACATTGCACTTGGGCCGCTCTTCCCAGATCTCTCGGTGCCGTCACTATGAGACCGCTGCGGGCACTCTGCACGAATTGGGCTACTAGGTCCGTCCAGAAGATTTCTTTCTACCGATTGTCCAGTTGTGCTGGGGCGTCCTACATCCCTCCTCGAAGCTGGGCGCCTAAGGGCCTCAAAAATTCAATGCTCGCGTCGAAATTGGTGACTGCACACAAATCTGAACCCGCTGGCCGCGTTCCGCGCGTCGACCAACATTAAAAACTTGCGTTTGACTTGCCATCGCTCGGACGTCCATGTCCCGTGCAATTTTTTGGCTCCGTGCGTTTCGTTGTTCGAACATGATCCAAGTGCTCCCCAATGGTCCTTGCCGAAGAGGGAGAGAATACACACGTCCGGGCGATGCCAAGTTGATTTCGAGGAGGGCTGTAGGACCAAAAGCCAGGGCGCAGCGCACAACGACAGGCGCGCGCAAGCCAGCAGATGCTGGCCTGCGACCCGATTGCCGCACGAGGTTGCGCGCGCAGCCGCAGACTCGCGTGAGCACGGCAACGCACGAGCAGGCTGCCAACGAAGCCAGGCCCCCTCGGGTCACGAACAAATCATGACGAAAGGCTTTTCGCTACTTGCCAGCTCTGGGGGCCCTCCCTCACCGGGCCTCGGGACCGTCAAAAAGCAACGCAGGATGAGAACCCGGTCCCAGGGAATGGGTCGAGACCTCTGGGGGTCGACGTTACGAACAAAATCATGACGTCGGGGGTCTAGGACGTCAGCTACACGCAACTCAGTACGCCACAACAGTTAGCGAACTCGAGGGGGACGATGCTGCAGAACGCGATATGCCCGAAATGTGTCGGTCCCTTCGGCACTGATGTGGGGGGAATGTCTGCCACTCCTCGAGCCCCTCGCAGAGGTGCCGATCTTCGCGATTGGTTCGGTTGAGGTGGGGGCACAGGAGGTTCCACGAGTGGCGGGAGTAGCGCACTGGAGCCTTGGGCCGAGACGCTGCCAAAAATGCGCCAAGATGTCAAAGACATAGGACCACGGACGCACGCCATGACGGCCCTCCGAGACAACGTAAGAGGTAGCAGAAGCTCTCAGAAGCGCGATAGAGCCCGCAAGAGATGCCACGATTTATCAGCAGCGAAACAACTTCTGGCCATCAAACGGAAAAGGACTCATGTGACACCGGCAGAAAACCCAACTCAGCATGAGAGGGGGTAGCTGCACAATGTGTCCACGATGGTTTGACATTCTGCCGCCACTACACGTTCCCACCTCGTTCGTCTCGGCCAACGCGCAACAAACACAAACCTGAACGAAGCGCACGCATTCACCACGAACGTGTCCAGCGCGCTCCTGGAAATCGCGTTGCCCAACTGCGTTTGCAATCGCAAGCCAGGAAGGCGACTGCCATAAAACATCAAACGTTTTAGTTCGTCGGACTTGAGCTCTTCAGGATATCCCGGAACTCTAGCGGGTCCCCGGGGCCCTCTGGGAATGAGGAGCTCCCGGGATGCGCCTGCTGGTAGGCTGGTTTCTGAATTATTTGATGCGCACAGTCGGCGATGCACCAGCGACGCTGGCGTAAAGAACATCGGGCTTCACAAATCCAGCCGCATCGCCGACGCATCGGCGATGCGGCGCGATCCTCCGACCCCATCTACTCTCTACTCGGACCCTATCCGGGAGGCCGAGGGTCATGGCACAGACTGGCACCTCCAGGCTGTTGCACAAGGCCGTGGCCTCAAGGGAGGACGGACCACCCAGGGGAGGTCTTTCCTCCAGTGAGGCCCAGGCATCTGCCGATCTGATGTGTTGCTAGTGCGCGGCCCCAGAGGTCTCGACCCCTTCCACGTGGCCACATTTTCGCCCCAGCGGGCCGATAGCGGGCCCCGCACGCTGAAATCAAGGAAAGAGATCGCATTGAAAAAAGGGATAGTCGAAATAAAAGAACGTCCTCCCCGCAACCTTCCGCCCCACGCTCCCCTCACCCCCGTCACGTTCTCTCTCTCTCTCTCTTTTCCGTTCCCCGCTTTCCCCACCCTCTCCTCCCTCCCATCCTCCTCCTCTTTCTCCTCCTCCCCCCTCCCATCCCCTCCTCCTCCCCTTCCTCCTCCTCCTGCGCCTCCTCCTTCCCCTCCTCTCCTCCGCCTGCTCGTCCTAGCGAACAGGGCCGGCGGCACCAGCCGCTAGGCCTTCGCAGTCGAGGAGAAACGCCCAGATGGACACACGTCATGTCAGCGAGGAGCTTCGGTGGCGAGCGAGGGGGGGGAAGGGAGAAGGAGAAGGCCTTCTCAGACCGCGGCGGGACTTCTCAGAAGACCCTCGCGCCTTCTGGAAAGTCTTCTGCGCCCTGGGGAAAGGCTTCACAAAAACTTCTCAGAAGGCTGGGGGACTTCCGAACCTTCTGAGAAGGCCCGCCCCATCTCACTTCCGCCCCCAGGCTCGCCGCCGAGAACTGAGTTTTCGAATCGCAGCTCGGGTCTCCGGCGTCCGTTCGGGACAATCCGGGCACACCCGGAGCGCCCGCCACGAGGCGCAGCTGCTGGAAACCACCCCGGGACTCCAGGCCAGGCCCCCCAGACCTCCGCAGACCTCCGCAACACTTCGAGATCTACCAAATCCTCCCGATGGTCCTGGGGGCCCGGTAACGTAAGACGAAGCCAGGACAAGGATACCATCGGGGGAAGATAAATCGAGCATCTCTGAAAGACGGTGGCTCTGGAGGATGCCTCGGGCGCCGCTGCCTTCTCGGAGCGTTCCGGGACGCTCTGAGAGCGCTCTGGAATGCTATGGAAAGGACTGATCCTCGTCCTAGCCCCGACCGACTCCGCAAACCTCCGCAAACCTTCGAAATCTCCGCAAACCTTCTAATGGTCTTAGGGCCCGATACAGTCAAAACGTGTGTGAAGGACGGGCGGTAAGGACGCAAGACCCATGGAGGCCGAAATTGGGATTTTGCGTTGGGCGGCGGGCGACCAGCGACAACGGCAAAGGACGGGCCGCAGAGGCAAGGACACGAGGGCACCCTGGATGACGGCGCGCGTCCTTACTGGGCGCGTTGACTGCAACGGGCCGCCGGCAACCTCCCAGACTACAACCTCCAACGGGCCCCCGATGGTCTCTAGGAAAGGGCGTCGAATGATGGGCCAACTTTCCACCACCACTGCCACCATAAGTTGGAGGAGGAGCAGGAGGAGGAGGAGGAGGAGAAGGAGGAGGAGGAGGAGAAGGAGGAGGAGGAGGGGGGAGGAGGAGGAGGAGGAGGAGGAGGAGGAGGAGGAGGAGGAGGAGGAGGAGGAGGAGGAGGAGGAGGAGGACCCCCTCCCACTCCAACTGATGGTGGTGGTGGTGGAAAACAGGCCCACCCTCCCAGGGCCGCCTCCCCGAAGGGGCCGCAGGCGAGGGCGCGAGGGCCGGCTCGCATGGTGCTGGGGGCTGCTGCGCACAGCTGCTTCCACGAGCAAAGGCTCGCTGTGGCTGCACTCCGTGGGTACGGCCTGGACCTAGGGCAGGAGAACATGAAAGACAGAGCCAGGACGAGAAAAACATCGGGGGCAGATCAATCGAGAATCTCTGAGATCTGGCGGCTCTGGACTCTGGAGGACGTCTTGGGCGCCGCGACCTTCTCAGAGCGTTCCGGAACGCTCTGGGAGCATTCCGGAACGCCCTGGCATGGATTTACCCTCGTCCTGGCCCCGCCCGAAACACCCTTCAAGAACACGAGACCCGCCGCCAGCCAAAACACACAGAACATCCAAGGGCACCCTCACCGTGGTGCACAAGCACATCCCCCCAAACACGAAGGACACCAGGGCACCCTCCCCGAACCGACCTCGACCTGGTACCTCGGTCCGGCCGTGAGTGCCCCCCCCCCCACGCCGAGCCTGAGCGCAAGCACCTTGAGCCAATGGCTGCCGCGCGTGGGCGAGCAAGCACCACGAGCAGCGGAGGCGTCGGCGCAGGCGTCCCTCGGGTAGCAGGCGCTCGGCGCGAGGACGGGCTCGCCCTGGCAGGCCTCGCGGGCGCCCGCCGCCGCGGCGCGGGCCTCGGTGGCCCTCGGTGCCCCAGGCAGCAGCGGCGGAGGGCGGCGGCGGCGGAAGCTGCGTCGTCGTCGTCTTGTCGGTCATCGACGTCGTCGTCGTCGTCGTAGTCGTCGCTGTCGGCTTGGTTGTCGTCGTCGTCGTCATCGTCTCGGTCGTGGTCGTGGTCGCCGTTGTTGGAGTCGTCGTCGTGGTCGTAGTCGGCGTCTTCGCCGTCGTCATTGTCGCTGTCTGTGGTCGTCGTCGTCGCCGTGGTCGTCCTCAATTACTTCTCAGATGTCCTGGTCGTTGCGGTCATCGTGGACTGGATTGTTAACTTGGTCGTGGACGGGGTCACGGCTGTGGTCGTGGTTTTCGTAGTCGTCGTGGCCGTCGTCGCAACAGGATCAATCAGCATCGAAACTGGAAGCCGGATTGGATATGAGTGTGTCGAAGCGGGATGCACAGGCACGGAGTCGAAGTCAAACCCGATCGGCCAGGCCAGCATGCGCAACATCCCATGCAAGGACCGACCCCAAAATGTTTTAAGCACGTTGGCGATTAGGTCGGCAACGAAAACGAATCCGAACGTGTACAACGAACAGTCTAAAAATATAGACTGGAAAACGAAAACGAAGCGACGCCGCTATTCAACGAGGCAACAACACGAACAACGAAACGAACTTCGCAAACCTCGTTGGAAAGAAAACGGACAACGAAACGATGGCATCGAACGATAGCTGAGGACGGGGCAACATTGGATGGGGTTTGCTGCCAAGGCGAACGCGAAGGGCGAAATTCGGACTGGGGCACGAAACAGACAAACCGACAACATGAAACAAACCAACAACGAAACGGAAAACCGAATCAGGGCTGCGGCGAAGGCCACTAGGCCAAGGCTAGAGACGGGGTTCCGTTTGAGGCTCGTGCGAAAACCAACGGAACAACACAAAAAGCGAACCGAACAACCGATCAGGGCTGCGGCGCAGCTACAGGGCCAGGGCTAAAGCGAGGGGCGAGGTATCGCTTGAGGTTCGTGCGAAAACGAGCGAAACAAACGAAACGAAGAACAGACCAAGGCTGCGGCGAGGGCCTCAGGGCCAGGGCCAGGGCGAGGGACAAGGTCCCGTTTGAGGCTTGCGCGAAACGAGCGAACAAACAAAAACGAAAAGGAATCAGTGCTGCGGCGAAGGCTACAAGGCCAGGGCTAAGGCGAGGGGCGAGGTACCGTTTGAGGCTAAAACAAACGGGCAACGAAACGAAAACCAGACCAGGGCTGCGGCGAGGGCTACAGGGCCAGGGCGAGGGACAAGGTCCAGTTTGAGGCCCGCGCAAAAACGAACGAAAAAACGAAACAAACAATGAACAATGGTTGCGGCGAGGGCTACTGGGTCAGGGCTAGGGCGAAGGACGAGGTCCCGTTTGAAGGCTCTGCGAAAGGGAACGAAATACCATAACGAACAACTAACCAAAGCTGCGGCGAGGACCGCAAGGCCAGGGTTAACGCGGGGCGAGATTCCGTTTGAAGCTCGTCCGAAAACACATGAACAACGAAACGGAAACCGAACCAAGGTTACGACGATGGCTACAGGGCCAAGGCCAGGGCGAGGGACAAGGTCCTGTTGGAGGCTTGCGCGGCAAAGAGCGAGACCACAGAACAAACCGAAACGCAAACTAGGGTTGGGGCGATATCACCGCGAGTACTTTTAATTATTTACTGAAATCCCTCGCTGTCCACGCTCGTACTTTCTTAAGCGGAGGACCTTCTCCGCAGCGGCGTCGCCGAGGACCACCGCAGGGTTGGTTCGGGGCTCGTTCTTGGCTTGCTGGTAGATGGCGTCCGAGGCGAACTCCTCCACCGCCGCGATGCGGAAAGTGGCCACAATAAGCGTTTCAGGAACAATCGGGATGTCGTCTGTCATCTTCGTATGTAGGGTCGTGCGCCAGGGCGCTTGGTCACCTGAGAAAAGAACTTTACTTTCGTCCTGTCCTGACGGGGCCTTCCGGCCTTTCCATTAAGTCGGGCGTGTCCCCCTACAGAGAGATGTTCGACGAATATTGCAAGATATTCAAACATACTCCAACATGGTCAACAACTACTATAACAAATAGTCCCCAGACTATTGTTTGACTATTTTTGAATATTCCCCATGTAGAGGGACAGGCCCGACTTAACCCTGCCACCAGGACGACCTGGGGCTCCTAGGGTCAATGACGACCGGGGTGATGTTGGTCCTGCTGCCCACGGCCATTCGGACTCGCCGGCTGGCCTCGTACTCGGCGGCGGTCCGCGCGAGCACGACGAGCGGCTCCGTCTCTCCATGACGGCCTTCGCCGTCGGGGCTGCGGTGATCTTGGTCGTGCCCCGCGCCTCGCTGTCCCTCCGGGGAGTCTCGGGCGGGGGCCTTCGGCGACACAGCTGCGATGACCTCGCGCTGCTTGTTTGCGGCCTGGCTTTGGGGGACCGGCTTGCCGTTGATCCTGCCGGCTGTCTCGGCCTGCCCCAGGCGGGCTCCCTCCTCTCCCCTGGCCCGGCCTCGGCTTTGGCTCGGGGCTGGGCCGTCGGCGCGGTGGCCTGGCCCGCGAACTTGGTCTGGAGCTCCGCGGCGGCGGTGGCCGGCGCGGAGCGCTGCGACTTCATGGTTCACGGTGCTCTCGGTGCGCAGGCGCTTGGCAGCCCTGCTGCCTCCCTTCTCCGTAGAGCGGGCCCCCATGCTCTCAAGTCAATCCCACCGGCCCTTTAGGGCGTAGGTGGTTTGGGGTGTTTCCTCTTCCACCCCCTTCTTCCCTTTTGGGGAAGGGTTTTCCCTTCCCCTGCCCCCCCCCTGGACCTGGACGGGGCGTCTCGCGAGCGGTCGGAGCGTCTAAAACGGCCCCGGCGAGGAAGCCAAATCACTGGTCTTACTAAGGTTTTGGCCCCAGTTTGGCCGCTTGGGCGGGGGAGGCTAATTGAAGCCCCCCTCTTGTTTGATCGATCTTCTCCGAGATGGCCCCAAGAGCGCTCCCAAGACGCCCCAGGGTGCTCCAAGGGTCCCAAGAGGTGGCCAGGAGGCCCCAGGAGGCCCCAAGAGGCCCCCAAGAGGCCCCCAGGATGCCCCCAAGAGGCTCCCAAGAGACCCCCAAGAGGCCCCGAGAGGCCCCCCAGAGGCACCCACGACGCTCCAAGAGGCCTCGGCAAGAATTTCAAAATCACTGATTTTACAAAAAGGTTTTGGCCACATGTTGGCCTCCTGGGGGGGGGACGTCTTAAGATAACTCCAAGAACGCTTGGGAGAGCCCACGATGACCTCAAAGATGGCTCAAGATATCCCAAGGTGCCTCAAGATGGCTCCCACGATGCTCCAAGAGGTCCCAAGACAGCTCCAAGACGGCTCCAAGTGGCCAAAGAGCTCCCCCAGGAGGCCCCGAGGAGGCCCAAATCCGTCCAAAACCTTCGGCAAATACATGTTTGTTGGTTGTCTCGCCCTTTCGCGTCCGATGGCCATCCGAGGCCTCGAGATGGCTCAAGATGGCCGAAGAGGGCTCCAAGAGCGCTCCCAATGCTCCCAAGGGCGCTTCAAGAGGGCCCCAAGAGGCGCCCAGGAGGCCCCAGGAGGCCCCAACAGTCGCCCAAGAGGCCTCCAAGAGGCTCCCAAGAGACCCCTGAGAGGCCCCAAGAAGCGCTGGGAGGCACCCGAAACGCTCTAAGAGGCGCCCGGGACCGCCAAGAGACCCCCAAGACGTTCGAGGCCTCCACTGGGGGACCCTTCCTCTGTGTGTTGCCCACTTCGCTGATCGAGGCAATTCCTGTGAGCATCGTTTCTGGATGGGCTGGTTGGGTTACTCTTTTTGTCAGCGGCCGCGGGCGAGCGCGCCGGCGGCGTGTCAGGTCAAAGTGGGCGACCCAAAAACTAATTAGACAGAAAACGCGGGAAAAACAAACAGAGCGACGCGCGAAGCGACAACTAAGCGCGGCCGAGGCCTCAGATGGGGGGCTGTCGGGACTGAGACTGCAGTCGGAGGCGCCACACGTCGGAAAGTCAACGACGGCCAGGGACAACTCCGAGAGAGAATCGTGATACCGTACCTCAGACGACTGCGTGGGCACCAGGGTGGCCGTGGCCAACGAAACGTCGGTCGAGGTAGGAAAGAGAAATACAAAGGCGAGGTCCCGGACAGCGCGAAGCGCGAAAACCAGGGTAGTCCAAAGGACCGCCGACCAAAGAATTGCTGCCAGGGGCGAGAGCGTTGGCAGGCTGCAGCTCCCAGGGCGGCGGAAGCCGAGAGACCCCTGGCAGCAGCACGCACGAGTGAGGGGAAGCGGCATAGCCGCGACGCAAGCCAAGGTGGCGCGGGTCACCACGTACCTCTGCGAGGCACAACGCACAGGGCAGACACCAGGGAGGACGAGCGTACGAGTACCTCCAATGAGCGGAAGCCGAAAAAGGGACCATCGGCACGCTCGGAATGCCAGACCAGCCGAAGCCAGGACGGCGGCTAGCCCAGGATGAGGAACCGCGATTTGAGCGGAAAGGCCGAAGAAATGCTGGTTGGGTTGCGCGAAGCGTCTGGAATTCGGTAATCGTGCGCTGGGCGAAAAGATCCTTCTCGTCGAGAGAGCGCGTTTTACGGGCGCTTGCCTTGGGAACATTCGGCGGGGCGTTTCGAACCGGGGCGGGGTCCTCCCCGCCCAACATTCGACGCCGTCGATCAGAACCAGGGAGACTATCCTCCCCCATAACCCCCTCCCCGACCACCCCCCCCCCAGGGTTCGAAACCCCCCACTCCCCCCCCGGACCTGGCGCTGGCGCCGGCGCTGGCGGCGGCCGGCAGCGCCGACGGCAGGGACGCAGCGACGATGACCAGAGAGGGCCCAGAGGCCGCAAATGGGAAACACAAATCGCCATGTCGAGCCCTCGCCCCCCAAAATCGACCAGGAGGCCCTCAGGAAGGTCCCAAAAACGCCCAAGAGGCGTCCAGGAGGCTTCACACATGCTCCATAGACTATCCTCAGACGCCCCCGAGACCCCTCTGACGAGACCCCAACAGGCATCCATTAGAACTCTGACCCAAAGACAAGGCACGGGGGCGGGTAGACACGACGGCCACACCACCACCATCACCAACACCAAAACAAACCCCCACCACCACCACCGCCACCGCCACCATCACCACCACCACCATCACAACCACGACAACACACCACCACCACAACCACCACCACCACAAACCACTACACCACCACCAACACAACCACAATCGCCACCACCACCATGACCCATCACAACCTACCACAACCTACTACAACCACCAGCACCACCACAACCACAAAGTACCACGCCACCACCACCACCACCGTCACCACCACCACCACCACAACCCACCACCACCACCACCACCACCACCGCCGACACCACCACCACCACCACCACCACAACCACAAACCACCACTGCACCACCACCACCACCACCACCGTCACTACCACCACCGCCACCCACAACCCACCACCACCACCACCACCACCACCACCACAACCACCAACACCACAGCCCACCACCACCAACACAAACCACCATGCGACCACCAATCCACCACATCATCACCACTACCACCACCACCACCACCACCACATACCCATCACCATAACCACCACAACCCACCGCTACCGCCCACCAGTACCACCGCAACCCATCACCACAACCATCACCACAAACCATCACACAACCACCACCACCACAGCCGCCACTCCAACCACAACAACGCACCACCACTACCACCAGCACCACAATCCACAACCACTACCACTACCACAAATCCATCACATCACCAGCAACACCACAACCACCACCACCACCACGTTACCACCACCACCACAACCACCACCACCACCACCACAAACCATCATAACACCACCACTACCACCACAAACCATCACACAACAACCGCCACCACAAACCACCACCACCACCACCGCTACAGCCACCACTTCCCCCCTCACCACAACCTACCACCACCACCACCACCACCACCACCACCACCACCACAAACCACCGCACTACCACCACCACCACCACCACCGCCCCCCCCACCATCACCCACCACCACCACCACCACCACCACCACCACACCACCACCACCACCACCACCACCACCACCCCCACCCCCACCACCAGCCACCACCAGCAGCACCGCCACCACTACCACCAACACCACCACCACCACCACTGCCACAACCACCACCACAAACCATCACACAACCACCACCACCACCCCCTCCCGTCACGGGAGGGGGGGGGGTGAGGTTCGAACCCGCCCACCCCATATCGGAGGGAGGGGGGGAGGGGGTTCGACCTCCCCCGTCAATCGTGGGGCCCACAGAACGCGTTCTTTCTTCTCGTCGGAGCCCTTAGACAAGAGGTGGGTCACTAGAGACTCGATCGTCTCGAGCGCGAAACTTGACCCGTACTCGGTCGCATCGGTGGACAGGTGGCTTCCCGCCAGGTTCCCCAAGTAAGAATCGCAATGCTCCCCAAAACTGCCCTGGTCAAAACTCTCCTTCCCCATATGGCCCATGGACGAAACGAGGTCCCACAGAAACTCGATCAGCTCCAGCCTGAAACTGTTGGACTCCTGCTCGTTCGCGTTGGCGGCCGAACGGCTCCCCGGACCCCAGGGGTAACACGCAGGAACATCCCCCGACAGCTCACCAGGATAGGAATCGAGACGGTCAACCCCGTTGGTGTCTGCCTTACTGGCGCTTCTGCAGCACATCGGGCCCGAGAGTGCAGCGCTTCGGCCGCGCGTTCGGTCCCCTTCGCAGCGCCACCTGGCCCAGCGAGCAAGAGGCGCCCCCGCCACCGCCAAGGCCACGATGACGTAGTCAGGGGGCTGCTGCCTGCTGCTAGGTGGATTGGCTCAACCTAGCAGTGCCCTCTCTGGTTATTCCTATTATTTGGGCGTGCTTGCTCTTACCGTTTCGTACTTTGGACGTCCGACCGGTTCGCCAAGACAACACAGCGCTGCGTGTGTCTGGCGTTTCTGTCGGAGCTGACTCGGGCGCCTTCAGGCCCGTCGCTTTGCTCTGTTTTCGAGGAGCGAGGTCAAGAGGAGATGGTGGAGGAGATGGAGGAGGAGGAGGTGGAGGAGGAAGACGACGAGGGGCAGGAGAAGGAGGAGGGAGGGAGGGAGGGAGGGGGAGGGAGGGAGGGAGGGAGGGAGGGAGGGAGGAGGAGAAGGAGGAGGAGGAGGAGGAGGAGGAGGAGGCGGAGGAGGAGGAGGCTTGAGGCGGGCGCCTTTCGCGTCCTTTGCTTTCTCGTCTAAGGCTGACCCTGGTCTTCCACGGGCCCTCTGCCGAAGGAGAGAGGCCAGCTGCTCCGCCTCTCGCCGGCGGAGGCCCCTTTAGGAACGCCCTCCTGCGTTCCAGAGGGGCCCCTGGGAGGAGGAGGAGCAGGAGGAGGAAGAGGAGGAGGAGGAGGAGGAGGAGGAGGAGGAGGAGGAGGAGGAGAAGGAGGAGGAGGAGGAGGAGGAGGAGGAGGAGGAGGACGCGGGGGTGCGGCTGCCTTCGCGCCGAGCTCCGAGCCCGTCCGCGTTAGCGTCAGGGGGCGGGGGACAGGAGTGGTGAGGTCGCGAAGCGAAACGTACATTCTCAAGACGGGGCGCAGCCTCTCGCTCATGGCTTCGACGACGAGGACCCCTGGCCAGAGACCACCGCCGATCCTGTTGAAGTAGTCCGTGCGTGTGGAAAAGAGGAGGAGGAGCAGGAAGAAGAGGAAGAGGAGGATAATCAGGACGAGGATGAGGAAGAGGAGGAGGATGAGGAGGAAGAGGAGGAGGCGGAGGAGGAGGAGGCGGAGGAGGAAGAAGGAGAGGAGGGAGATCTGGGGGAAAAGGGGGAGGAGCAAGAGCAAGAGCAAGTTAGTTCGCTAAGTGGAAGGGAAAAGGGGGAGGAGGAGAAGGAGGGGGGAAGGAGGGAGGAGGGGAGGGAGGCGAGGAGGCAGGCGGAGGCGAGACCCCTCCAGCGCCCCCGCGCGGGCCTGGCCGTCCAGAAAACCCTTCAGCAGCGCAGCCCCCAGCATCGAGTCCACCGCGTCGCCTGGCGCTGGCCTCGGGTGCGCGCGCGGGCTGCGCGCGGGACAAGGCCCCAGGGGTGCAAGCGGCGAGAAGTGATGCACTCGGAAGCACGACGCACATGGGAGGGGGACGGAGGGCAGGGTCCTCCTCCTCCTCCTCCTCCTTCTCCTCCTCCTACCCCTTCTTCTACTCTTGTTCCTCCTCCTCCTCCTTCTCCTCCTCCTCCTCCTCCTCCTCCTCCTCCTCCTCCTCCTCCTCCTCCTCTTGTGCTTCCTCCACTGCAGTTTCGAGTGCCGTGGTTGTGGGCATCGCCTTCGGTGGATCTCCTCATGGGGCCGCGAAGCGAGTGAAGGGCGCGCCGACATGTGGCCTTCAAGCATCGCAAGGGACACGGCATAAAAAGACGGAGGCAGCAAAGGGGGGCGCTGGGACCTTCGGCGGGGCACCCCCGCCCACCTTCCCCCCTCCTCGTGCCCAACGTGAATTTCGAAACGCTAGCCAGGACGCGGCAACGGGTCACGGGTCGACGAGCGGATGATGACTTGTAAATTTACGAGAAAGGTGCCCACGAGAGTGGGCGCTGTCAACATCACAGTATTGACCGACCTCGGGCATGCGAAGCGGGAGTAAGGAAAACCGAACTCGTGTGTCCAGCTCGTCCAGGAGTCCACTTGCCTGGCAGTGTACAGTAAACTGTGCTGGGCGATGAATTGAAATCGCTCTCGAATGCGCACTGGGCCCCATGGTCCGACACGTCATCCCACCCGTCCCGAGAAGCAGCGTCCAGCGTCATCGGGGTGCGGTTGACGTCGCTGACGTCCTGGGATGCGATCGACATGCCGTACCACTTGCTGTCGAACACGCGAATGACGTTGGGCAAGTCCGAACCCGCAGCTGACCCCGAGTCGTTGCGGCGGATGGCGACGCCGTCGAAGCGGTCGTCCGTCGAGTCGCAAGTAAAGACGACCCCCTTGAGTGCATGCTGCTTGAGGAAACGCACCGATGAAGTGTGCCAACGCCCTGCGTCGGGAACGCCCTGCGTCGGGAACGCCCTGCGTCGGGCCCTCGCGATTGGGCAGTGCCACAATGCCACTGTCCGCCGTTTCTTTACGTCGCGCGAGCAGGCGTGCGCCGCAGTGAAGCGGCTCGCGGCGGGGGGTAGGCGCGGCCCGGGCACGGCGGATGCTGCTGCGCAGCGTCCAGCTGAAAGGGCCAAATTCACATACAGCCACAAGTCAAGCGACTACACGCAAGAGTGACCCTGGGTAAGAGTGACCTCTGGTGCGCGGCTTTTTGGGGGCTGCGGGGGGACCAAAAACGAGCGCGCGAGACGCAACTACCTCATTGCGTTCTGCGATCGGGGGGCCCCGTTGGGCCCGCACCAAAGGTCACTCCGGCGAAAGGTCACTCTTACGTGTAGTCGAGTCAAGCGACACCTGCCTGGGCGCCGGTCGCCTCGTTGCCCGAGCGCTGATGTCCGAACGCGCGGTGTATCTCGGTGTCCGGCCACTGATTGTGGGACTACACCGCGGGGGTCGCCTTCCTGGTCGATGAAGTCTGTGCCATCCGTGACTGCTTCTCGGTGTTGGCATGAATGGCATCACCGCGGGGCACCAGCAATCGATCTCCGCGAAATAAATGGAGATCCTGCGAGCGACCACAAACGGCTGGCCGATGATGGCGACTGGGTCGGCGGCGTCCGAGTCGGGGTCGCCATGAATCTGAAGCGTGTCGATCAACACTGTGGAGGTGGCCATTGCCGTCCTGGTGCAGAACCGTGGAGGAGCACAGTGGAGCAGGCTTCAGGCGCAGTCCAGTGCCAAGCACGAACGAACCTCGACCAAAATGGCCACAGAGAGACGGACAGGCGGGCCACGGCGCTTCTCGGTTCAGCCGTGGTTGCTCGATTCAGCCATGGGATGCGCCATGCGTTTCAAACCCGATTCAGCCATGGGTTACTCGATTCAGCCATGGGTTGCGCCATGCTTTGCACCGTGTGCGACTCGATCTAGCCATCGGTCGCTCGATTCAGCCACAAGTTGCGCCATGGGTTGCTCGATTCGGCCACAGGTTCATTGTCAAAGGCCACTCGGGCGAAGGGTCACTCCTGCAGCCGAGCAGGGGCGAGGGAGGGCGGGCGGTGTTATTGCAGTAGTCAACCTACTGCCATTCAGGGGCGCTTGAGAAGGAACGGAGCCTCCTCCTTGCCCCAAGCGCGCCTGGATATGTGGGGAGGCGACCGTGGAAGGACCGTGGAGGGACAGCGAGCCCCACTCGAACCCGACCTGCCCTCGCCATGCTATCGTCACCCTGGCCCCTCTGGTGCCACCACTACATGCGGGGGCGCGCAGACATGGATTAGCGATCCATGGATTTGGCGCGCGGCCGTCAAATCCATGGATCGGGGGAGGTGCCCTTCCAACAATGCGGCCGGTGCCGCCTCGTTCGGCGGCGGAAATCCGCGACGTCCCATGGAAACAGCACCCGTAGCTAATCCACGCCCCCTGAATCCGTGTTTGCGATCGCCTAATCCGTACTAGTTTCCCTCCCTCCGTTCCCCCCCCGCCAATCTCTCCCCCCGCCCCGCCTCTCCCCATTTCGCCATCGCCACCGGTGCAGGGTCTTTTGGCGAGGGGCGGCGCATGCGCGGTTTGTCTTTGGTGCTGTGCTCCTGCTGGCCTGGGCTGAAGCTGCCCGCGCAGCCCTCGTCCTCAACGTAGGGCGCCATCGCGCACTACAAATCTTAGAATGGGTGTGGCGGGAGAGGGGCGGGTGATCTTACAAGGGGTGTGGCGGGACGCCATGGTGCAACATCTGCTGGCGACCCGAGACAGAGGAGGCGCGATGCAACGTGCGTGCATATCAAGTAAGTTCTGGAACAATGCCAAACGGACAGCGCCATACTGCTGTTAGCCAACCGCTATCTCAACGTTAGTGTGTCGTTGGTCGAACGTCAGGCTGACGCCAATCTTACCTCATCTTACGCTGGTATAGCGTAAGGCTGCCGTTGTTATGACATTCGTCCCACGCATAACGCTAGACTGACGTAACTTGTCTGTTGCATTTTAGGCTGGGATAACGGAAGACTGACGTCGGTATGACGTTAGTCTTACGTTAGGTCTGTGGGTCGTATCTGGTATGCACGCTACCCTCCATCTCTATCCCAATGCCCTTCATGCATCCCCTTACTCGTCCATCCGCAATCCCATTCCCCCCTTATATGACTATGTCCATGTCTCTCTGTCTGCTCCCGCACTTTTATATAATGCAATTTTGATATGGTCATATAGCAGGTCACATGTCTACGCATGTATTTACATACATCTACATGCACATGTCAGTCCATACCTCTATTTGCGTATGTATATATACATATGTATGTCTGTATAGGTCCCTCCCTATTTCCCTGAAGTGTCTGATCGTTCGACTTCAACCTTCCTCTGTGCATAGATCCATCTCCAGATGTGTATGTGCATATATGAGAATATCATATGTTACGCGTGTATCCGTATGTATGTGCACGCTCTCTCTCTCTCTATATATATATATATGTGTGCGTCTTATTTCAAGCCCCCTTTTTGACTGTATGTATCTCCCTGTCTCCACCCCTCCTTTTCTCTCCCTCTTTCCCTTGCTTGTGTTGTCTTTGTCTCTCTCTCTCTCTCTCTTATATATATATATATATATATATGTATGTACATTTTCTCTTGCCCTCTCTCTGTCTTTCTCTTGTGTTGTTCTCTCTGTCTCTCTCTCTCTCTCTATCTCGCTCTTTCGCTCTCGCTGCAAGCACGCGCGCCCTCCATGCAAGCACGCGCGCGAGGAAGCACGGCAGTCCTTCTCCCTGTCATCCTCTCCTCCTCACCCCCAGCCTCCTTCTTCACCTCTCCCCTCCTCCACCCTGTTCGGCGATCGTCGAATCGGACGTTTCCTCCTCAGGCCTGCTCTTAACGTCGGTATTGGATGCTTCTCGTCCCTCATTCTTAATCCTCGGAAGCCCATCCTGCTGCTATTCTTCTACGTTCGCCTTTCGGCTGTTTCGTCGCATTCCCCCTCTCAAGAGAACCTTCCTCGTCCTTGTCATCGAGTCCTTTCTCCACCCATTCCCCCTCAACGCCTTTCCCCTTCGTCTCACATAAAAAACCTCGTCATATTACTTATCCTGCGTTCTTCTTCTCCTCCCCCATCTACATATATCCTCCGTTTGTTTTCCGGCATGGGCATGACGCAAAAATCAAGACTAGTCTGACGCAAGATGCCAAATAAATCCGCAATCGGTCGTTATCGGTCGCGACCGGTAACCGTTACTGGTCGCGACCCGTGGCGACTGGTGGTCGTTCTCGATTTCGTCGCTCGAAATGGGAACGACCGAGAAGGAGTTTCGTGCCCGATATTTTTTGGTCGCGCATGATCTGGGGCTGTGGAGGGGGCTGGGGAAACTTATCCGAAGGCAAAAGCCGTGCTGACCCGTCTGAACAAAAGCCCGCCTTCGCTGCCTGGCACGCTGGGCGCACCGCCGAGCCAATGGTCACTCGGGTGAAAAGCCACCCCCCTAAGGTCGGGCATGTCCCAGTACAGGCGGATTTTCGAGGAAAGACCAGACAGATCTAAAAACCTAATAAATTGTCAAACGATAGTGGAAAAATCGTCCCCAGATCATTTTTGTTAACTATTAGAAGGACACGCCCAACTCAACACTCCCCTCGGCCCCGGCCTTCCAGACCTCCCGTGCCGCAAGTGCTGCCGCTGCGGCCGCGCTGGCGGCAGATGCGTCGCATCTGCCGCCCAGAAGGCGCGGAAGGTGAAGGCCGAGAGTCTTCGGCTGCACGCAAGAGTGACCCTAGGCAAGAGTGACCTTTGGTGCGGGGCTTCTGGGAAGCCGCGGGGGACCAGCCCCAAGCGCGCAAAACGCAACTATCGCATCGTATTCGGCTATCGGGGTGCCCAACTGGGCCCGCACCAAGGTCACTGCGGCGAAAAGTCACTCTCACGTCCCCTCGACCTGCAACTTCCGACATTTCCGCGCAGCAGGTGCACCCGCGGCGCGGCCGCGGCGACCGCCGAGACCGCCGCTGCGGCCTCGACCGTGGCCGCCTCTGCGGCCGCGATGGCGGAGGTCGCTGCGTGGCACCTCCCGTCCAGAAGGTGTGGAAGGTGGGGGTCGAGGGGCGTCTATTCGAGGTCTTACCTGCAGCCGAGCAGCTCTAAGGGCGCCGGCGCGTAGATCTGCTTGGGCGCCGGCGCGGCGCCGCGCGACGGCCCGTCGCCTGCAGGACGGCGCGCGGCGACGACCGCGGCGGCAGCGGCCACGGCGGCGGAGACGGCGAGAGACGAAACGACGACGACGGCGGCGACGACGACGGCGGCGGCGGCGATGACGACGGCGGCCGCGGCGGACGCGGCGGCGGAAGCGGCGGCGGAGGCAGCGGCGGAGGCGGCGGCGGAGGGGGCGGCGGCGACGGCGACTGTGGCGACGAGGTCGACGACGGCCGCGACGACGGCGGTGGCGTCGTCGACGACGACAGCCAGAGACGACGGACAACGACAACGGCGACGACCACCAAATGCCTCCCGAGGCCTACTGAAGCCTCTGGGGGTCTCTCCGCGTCATCGTCCGGCGACGTTCGCTGGTGCCCCCTTGAGGCATCCAGACGCCCTGGAAAATAAGTAGCACTCACATAAGAAGTGAAATATCAATCATGATAGCCCCAAAACCATTGGCTATTGCGGAATAGGGGCGAAATAACTGTGGTGGTGTGAGCTATGCGGTGAATTTTACGTGACGGAAATATGTAGCGTATTATGTGTTGTGCAAGCTGGGTTGTGTGAGCCATGTTGCGCGACATACATGACGTGAGCCGTGCGGTGTAAGGGTGACAGCGACGCGGTGCACGCCATGAGCTGTGAACTGCGTGGTGTGATCTCTGCGGCGCATACTGCGTTGTGCGAGTTACCTGGTGTGCGGTGCAAGCTATGTAATATAATCCCTGTGAAAAAAATATGATGTGTGTAAGCTTCGCCCCGTCCACTCCTCCTCCTCCTCCTCCCTCTCCTCCTCCTCCTCCTCCTCCTCCTCCTCCTCCTCCTCCTCCTCCTCCTCCTCCTCCTCCTCCTCCTCCTCCCCCTGGCGCGGCGCGCCCACAAGGCGCCCACAGGAGGGCACCAGGCTAAACCTCGGCACACCTCCCCAGCGCGGGGCGCCAACGAAACGCCCTCTGCGTGGGGCGCCCACGGGGAGCCCATGGGCGCCCATCGACCCGTCACCAGCCGAACCCCCGCCATAGCCATACAATTCCTTCAGCAAGTGCGAGCCATATGGTGCAAACTTCGTTGTGTAATTGGTTTCGGCACTCTCGCCTTTGTCGACGCCGCCGCTTGTGCAAACCACCCAGTCCCCCCGATACGTTTTCGGGTCGAACCTTTTCGGCCGAGATTGCGGTTCCCGGTTCGACCTTGCCATCGCGTGTCTCCGGCCGCGCCGCGCCGCGCGCGGCGGGGCGCACAGCGACCAGCTGGTCTCGCACAACTGATGCGGCCGCGATGGTGCTCACCGATGGGATCTCCCCACCGCGTGTCAAAAACAGCCCTAGCACGCGGGCGTATCGTTTTGATTCGGTGACCCGCGCGGGCGCGGAATCATGACGCTAATAAAGATATTAACGATGATGTTGATGCTGGTGATGATGATGGCACTTGTGGTGCTGATAACGATGATGACGACAGCAGGGCCAATGACGGCGCCGATGTTGGCGACGAC